CAGGACCCCGCGCCCTATAGCAAAACCCCCCCCCCCCAAAAAAAAAATAGCGATCTTGTATGGGTGTCTCTTCCCACGGCTTACCACGCTTCATTGTCCATCAGAACAAAGGGTCAAACATGCCTTGGTACAGTCACCTGAAACTTGGGGACACTGACTTGGATCTCAGGAGTGTTTTCCCAATGCAGAGGTTGAAAGCTGCTCCCCCGAGAGGTGATCAGGTACGGCAGCGGCTAACGGAGGCTCGGCCGGCCCTGCCTCCTGCGTGCCTTCCCAGGGGTTTTACAAAGAGCGACGGCTGGACGCGAACCAGGTGAGGTACACGGGGACTCACGTTTCTTTTGCAGTCCTGTGGGCAAGGGCTGCCGTTCTTCGAAGTGGGGCCCCGGGAGTATGCGGAGGACCTCCTCGATGCTCCGCCAGCCGGGCCGGGACAGCAGCTGCGCCAGCCGCACGCTGAGCGGCGCGTACCCACTGTACACGTAGGATATGTCCGTGGGGTTCTGCGGGGTAATCCAAGGAGAGGTCCGTCAGTACGGAGACCTGACGCTCCCTGACTGCGGCTTTTGGGTAATCCAAAATTGTCGGACTGGGGTGTGACGGCAGAAACTTAAACTAATCCCCACCCCCATCCCACGTCCAGCTCCGGTCCACCCAGCTGGGGGTTGGCGAGCCTCACCTGCTCGTTAACGTCATCCATCCAGAGGCGCAGCGTTTTCCGAATCGTCGGGTAGTTGTTCCTGCCGCCCGCCTGCGCCCTCAGCAGCCCAGCCTTCTCCAGGTTGTGCAGGGTCAAGATGTGCTCGTAGCCGTAGGTCTGCAAGAGGAGTCGTTTGGCCCTGGGGTCAGACCATGGGAAGAGTCTTTGCTAATTTCAAAAAAGAGCACCTCCAACCAATCGATCTGGTTTGTCCTCCGGGACACAGTGACTGTCAGTGGGCACAGGGACAGGGTGGAGGGAAGGGGCATGCCGTAAAGTTGCCTGCCGAGCTCACTGCCCAAGGAGGGTGCAACATTCTCAGTGTCAGAATGTACGGGCCCGCCCCGAGGAGCGTCAGTTACACACGGGGTAGAACTAGCTCTCAACACAGGAAGGTCCGCCTGGAATGAGTCCCTGGAAGTGTCCTCAACACACACACGTGGTGACGAGAGGCTGTCACACGCAGGAGGGCCTCGCTTCTGTAGGGACAGCCGACACCTGCGTGGCACTATCTGCGAGGCACTGTTTCAGCCTATGTACTTGACAGGCGTTATACCAGTCACATGAACACCTCTTTTGCTTTTTTTTAAGGTTTTGACCACAGGGCACATACACTCACTAGAGACAGAGAGAGGGAAAGTGAGAACTCACCTCCCACGGGGCATGGCCATGCCACAATTCCTTCTCCTCCATTCTTCTTTTGGGATTTTGAGCACACACACACACACACGTGCACGCACACACAGTGTTTTTCAAGCTGCAGGGTCAGGGACTTGAACCTTGAATCACAGTCAGCTATGGGGGGAGTCCAGTGCCCTAACCACCACGCCCCCTGCTGGCCCACTTATCTGAATTATAACCCAGGAGGTAGGTACTGTTGTGATGAGCTGCATGTTACAAAGACGCTCCAACGGCTTGCCCGAGGTCACACGGCTAGTCAGGAGCAGACGTAGGATGGAGGCCCAGCCTGCCTCACTCCAAAGGCTGTGTATGTCAACGGTCTTGGAAGAGTTTTTAAAAGAAAAGTGGAAAAGCTTTTCCATGTTCTGGTTTTTCCTCCACAGATAGGGACGACCACAGCATCTAACTCAAGGGGAGAGCTCTTCCAAGAGACCTTGGCATTAGCAAATGCTCAAAGGTTCGCGGCTATTATTACACGGACAGTGACAGGTGCCCAGAACAATTCCCCTAGGTACTAAGAGACTGAAAAGACAGTGGCATAGGCCAGCAGGTGGTAAGGTGGTTAAGGCACCGGACTCCCACGTGGCCGGCCGTGGCTCAAGTCCTGGACATGGAGGCTTGCTTTCTCATTCTGCCTCCCTCCCTTTCTCTCTCTCTGTCTCTCGGTCTCTCTTTGATCAAACTGAAGAATAATAATAAATAAATGTTAAAAAAAAAAAAAAAACAGGGGGAATGACATAAAAACAAACCTCTGTGAAGT